AAACTTGCTCAAAGTCTTCACACAAAATCAGCAGTTTTTATACAATTTTTGAATATGATTAAATGTATATTCAAGTGATTACAACATCTATATATATATATTAATAACAGGCAGAGTATAGGTGGAGCTCAGGCAGGGCTTGGGGCGGTGCTTCTCTTGGCCCTCAATTTTGGGGGTAGTTCCGTTCTTTCTCCCTGGATCTGGGGGCTTAGTCTCATCTTCCTCAGCTTGACCCCTCTTCTTTTCCATTGTTCTCGACCCACTCACTGAAGCTTGGAAAAAGCCTTGGTTCCCGGCCTGTTTCTTCTATTCAAATGTCTACCTTATCCTACTGCATCTTAATTTATTACCTCTAGGCCTATTACATGTTCTTTTACCATTCTCTTAAGTTTTGGTCCAGTAACTAGAACAGAACAAGCAGAGATCGTTTTGGATGTTAGTAGCTTGTTAGCAGGTCCAAATTTCTTAGTTAACTCTTCTGGGCCTGGCCTCCTGTTTCACCAACAGTATCTTCTGTTCTGAGAATCAGAAGAAAAAAACCAACATCACTGACAGGAACCATTTGCTTGTCTTTCATTGTAATGCAGACCTGTCAAGTTTCATGTGATGAGCATCAGACCTGTTCTTTTAGCAACTCATTCCGTCCTGTGGCATCTCATGCTCATGCATCAGCAGCATGCTGTCATGTGGCCTGATGTGCGAGTGTTGTCTGCTGGGATTTTAAGGATTTGCAGAATCTGTCTAGGTCACAAACCCAAGTATCTATACATCAGTGAAGCATCTTCATCTGTTGCAACTACAACTTCCGTGGTTTACCCCATGGCAAGATTCTCTGTACTCTTATCTGTCTTCTAGCCTAAAAAGAAGTCCCCACAGATGTTTCTCAATGGGTGTGTGTCTGAGATCTGTGCTTGAGACAGATCTTGTCTTGTTTCAGTGCCACATCTGCTATCAACAGAATTCCTAGCTTAATTTTAGAACAGTATTTTGTTAATTTATGCTTGCCTTCTTGATGAAATAATGTTTAAAACTGGAAAGAAGCTTTCCTGAGATCTTTAATCACCATTTTCTTGCTCCCTACATTTCCTGTTTACCTAGTCAAAAGATGTCATACTTTTTTTTAAAAAAAGAAAAATCTAAAGAAGGCATATCTCAATATTTACATTTTAAAATCATAATCTGGATTTGACAACATGGCAGACTGAGTCAAGGTAAATGGCCTTTATTCTTCATGAAAGACTTGTGACTCTCTTTTTTTTTTATGACCTCTGCATCCAAAGTCCAATTTCAGGGTAAGTCAAATGGCATGCAGGAATAAAAGAAATATTGTTTTCTAAAAGGTCAGTAGGAAAAAGAAAGCTATATGACATTAAGGAAGAGAACATGAGAGAAAGCATTGTCAAGGGGTATAGATATTTCAAAATGGTTGGATTTTTTTTTTTTTGTATCTAGTAAGCACGTTTATTTTCTTAAATCAAAAATAGTAAGGATTTGTAAGTTAATCTAAGAATTAAAAGAAAGGAACTCTGATCATTATTTAACTGGTTTTGTCTTATTATTCTCCATATTAACTCAGGTTTCTTCTACTTCTGAATCTTACTTACTTGTTAACTTAATAGCATGTTTTGAAAGCACAGAAAATATTTGCTCCTGATACATGCACTGAACTTGTGAAGTAAAAGTTACATAGCATTTGCATTATCTTTACTTATGCAAACTTCCAGTGCAAACCTGAGAAACAGCCTTGTTAATATCTCCATCATTCCAGACTTCATGCATACAAAACAACTCTCTTGGTCACAAACCAACTGTCTCCTGGTAGCTTTATTAATACAAGTTTTCTCATATTTCATATGCAGCTCTGAAAGTTATTGCTGTGTACTGCAGAATTAGTGAATTAGTTTTGGGCAAAAAACAAGCTGTGTTACAAAGATTGAAAGTGTATCTACATCTGTATAAGTCAGATTGACTGTACTAACTATCTCACAGGCAGCATGTTCATTCTAGGTTAGCTTTTGTGATGACTTACATTATTTGAATGACTATTTGCCACCACCTAAGAAGAATCCGTATTTCTTTTATTTTCTTTTGTTTGAGTTAGCAAATAGTAACTAACTTGTTCTGTGAATCGCATGATCCAGCATTTGGTATGAAAAAGAAAAAAAATCAGTCCTGTGAGTGTTAGCAAATTAAAAAGAGGCAGTATAATCAATACAGCTGAAAATCAGATGTTCATGACTACTTCTGTGGTGCTCCTACTAATCTTGGTTAAAAGAATTAGATATTATACTAAACTGGGTCCCTTGTATGTTAAAATTTGGTGAAAATAGCTAGCTCATACTAATTATGTTTAAAAGGGAGCTTCAAGTACACCATGCTCCAAAAATGTTAACATATTGTGACTCAGTGACTAGTAATCAGCGGAAACTCCTGCCTGATGAAAACAGTGCTCTGTGGACAGGATTATCACCACAGCACGACACTGGACTAAGATGCTCGAGGTACAAAAGGTTACTTGTGTCTAGGACCATACTATTTAATTCCAACTCATTTCTTTCCGATGCCTTCTTCAAAAGCCTCTGAAGAAGACAGAAAGAAAAGGACAAAGTTGCTGCCAGACATCAAATGACAGACAAAAATTGAGTAAAAAAAAACACCCCACTATCATCTCTTCAATCAACACACAAAGACAAATAACAGGGCCAGGCTGGCTGGAGCCCAGAGCACACTGGTCTAGTGACTGGCATCCCTGCCAGTCAGTGTTAATTTCAGTGTTAATTGTGCATTCTTATGACTTCACAAATTAAAGAAAGTAACAGAAAAGTATTGTTTATGCAGATATGCTGTTTAACATTTTCAGTAAAAAAAAAAAAATCCCATGCTTTACAGAAAGACATAAGACAACATAAAAGCAACACAGCTTTATGTTCTATTGATAGTTCCCTGTATGGAGGTTTTAGGTGAGAGATTGCTTCAAAACTTCAATGCTAAGATAAATGCCAATATAATTATAAAATCTTCGTCTTGGGATAAATTTGGGAACCTGGTATCTTTTAAGTCTTGTAATTTCTAATGTATCTGCAGTAAACCTACTTTAAAATTTTAATAGAATAATAAATCCATAGTATCCATTTTCTAAATTCTATAATCAAAAACTTCTCGGAATACTTGAATCTACTATTTCAAATATCTATTCATCTAAGATTTAAAATGACATTCCAAAATATGAAATGTTTTATGGAAAGCTACAGTTTAATATATTCAGGATTGTTATATATTTATAATACTTTCTAAAAACAAAACCCCATAAAACAAAGCTTTCATAGGAGAAGCTCTCTATTTTTCCCTAACTGATTGATAACACATATAACATGCCATGCTTTCAGAGGAAAATGGGTTGTTATTCATAATTTTTTGGTAGATATTCACTTAAAATCAGTAGTAAGAATAAATTGCATGCATCAGAAAATAAATCAACTCTTAGCTGTTCATACATGCATGCACACATACAGATAGCCTAAAATGCTGAGCAAATTCATGATGTTTACATGCCCAGAATGGCAGAAAGAGCAACATTTCATGTTTCATGCAGGAAAGAGGAGTGACCTGCAAAAAAATGCACAATGTCTTTGAAAAATACTCCACTTATTTCCTATTTTCATATTATAGTGGGATAGGTATAAATAGCTGCAAATGAAATTAAAAACTTGCAGAGCTAGAAGGGAATTTCTTCTGGCATCCATATTCATGTCTCTATCATGCCCACGTCACAGCTCCTGTGGGTGATTCACTTTATGCAATATCATGTATGTAGAAGTGGGTAAACCACAGGGCAAGCTGCTGTTTCCATGCTGCCTCAGCCGCTGTCCGTGCCCTTTCCTCTGCCTGAGATGTGACCAGCTGTCAAACCTTGGGCAGCCATCCCCAGAGTGAGTAACCCATGGCTCATCTTTACCCTTTCATTAGAGCAGAACATGCCAATCTTCAGTCTGGCTGGAACACCCTTTACCCTCTATGGACCTGTACATTTGGGCCTGAGATAAGTATAGGTTTTGCATTAGAGGATGGGGTTACACTAGGAGTGTCAAGAAGAGACTTAAAGCATCTTCTTGGACAATACAAATCACCACTTCATAATGACCTTGCTACAGACATCAAAAGCAATGTCCCCAGTACCACGAGGTACTACTGCCACAGCACAGCAGCACGGCCCGGCCCTGCCTGCTCCTGTTTGTTCACGACCGCAGAAAATCCAAGCGAGGCAACAGACAGCAAGACATCGGGTGCGATGAGGAGGACGAGCAGGGTCTGTCACTGTGCCCAGCGAGGACATTGACCAGCCTAAGGGCGCTCGGCCTCGCACATCCCCAGTGCCGGTGGCGGGTCATAAGGCGCGGCCGGGGGAACGGGACCAGTCCGAGACCGGGAGCAGGGATAAAGGGCCGGCAGCGCCGGCCGCGGCGCGGGCACGGCCAGCTCTTCCCCTCCCCCGCCCGCGTGAGGGCGTTGTGCAGCGAACCCGCCCGGGCCGCGCTCTGCCGCCCCACCTACCACGGAGCGCCTCCAGCAGCCCCGAGTGCCTCAGGGCAGCTCTGCCCCCGGCAGCAGTCGGGCGCGGAAGGGCAGCGGACGGCTTCCACCAGCTCCTTGTACGCTCTCCGCCGTTTAGCACGGGCACACGCGACGCCCGCTCCCCCGCCGCGGACCATCGCAAAGAGGCCACGCGCCCGCCCCGCCGCCCCGCCCGCCCCCGGGCTCCGGGCGGCTGGAGCACCCGGAGTTGTAGTCTCTCCTGCCCGCCCCGGCGGAAGTGGCGAGCCAGCGGGCAGGAGGACTACGACTTCCGGCGGGCGCAAAGGAGGGAGGCGGGGCTGCGCACGGGGCGCCAGCGGGCGCAGCTGGGGACGAGCTCCGCGCTGGCATCGCGATGCGGGTTGCGGCAACCCAGACGGGCGCGGCGGCTGTCGGCGTGGCGGGTGCAAGTGGCGGCGGCGGGCGGCGGGGCCCGCCGGCGATGAGGCACGAGGCGCCCATGCAGGTCGGTGCCCGGGCCGCGAGACCGAGCGAGGGAGCGGCGGCGGGACGGACAGTGCGCCTCTTCGTGCCGGGGGTGGAGAGAGGACGAGGACACCCCTGGCGTGCCAGGGGGCCCAGTCTGTGCGAGGGGCCATGTCCCCATGAGGGGTCTGCCCGCCGCGGCGCAGGGGGGCGGCGGGTCTCCGGGCGGCACAGCCCTGCCGTGGCCACCACCCCGCCGCCCTGGCCGCGGCTGGGCTTCGAGGCACATTGGGGCACATTGGGCTCGCAGCTGTCCTGGGAGTGACTGGGTGTCAGTTGCGGGGTGATGAGGTGTATCGAGGCCCTACCGGGATGTGCAGGAAGTTGTCACGACCCCTCCGTCTGTTTATTCGATTTATCCATCTGCGTCGGGCAGAGGTGGCTCTTGGCTAGAGCAGGGGGTAGCAAAGAGGTGGCCCCTTTTCAGCAGTTTTTTAATGTATGGAAAGATATAATGCCCCACAGCACTGGAGTAGAAGGTGCTGTACAGATACAAGTTACATCACGCAGAGTTTTTAGCAGTTTCTAGGTTGTTTGCTCAAAACCGTTTATGCTGGTGAACTGTACTTCAGGTATGAATTAGGACCTAGTTTGTAATCATATGCAGAAGCTCTGGAGCCCCTAGACTATACATTCGAACACGACTCTTTTCTAGTAGAAAAGTCGATTGGTAACCATCACTTTGCAATCAAGTACAAAGAGTACTTTTGCAGTCTGCTGTGATTTAGGTGATGAACTGCAGGCCTGTTAGCTAATGTTTTCATGCTGAATATCTACTCTGACAGTAATAAAATTTCAGTCTAAAGGGAAGATCTGCATCCTTTTGCGTGCTACACGCATATGTCAGAACTGTTTATGTGGTATTTTCCATTTATTCACACATGTTTATTGAGCTACTGAAGTCATGTTTACTATGTATTGGTTTTGGAGAGCATTTCATTAAATGGAAATTTTGCTAGTAAAGGGTGACAACTGTAGATTGGTCTCTACTGTATCTGACATTTTTGACAGGTTGTTGAATTCACTGAAGTTCTTATATAGTTGTGGAAACAAAATGGTGGTGCAACATTAAAACAGAATCTATGGAAAGGAGAGTCCAGATATAAAAAAAAAATAAAAATTGTTCTTGACAATCAGAGAATGGCTTCTTGGTTTTTTCACAGATTGTCAGAAGAAGTGGAATTATTGAGTAAAAGTCAGTAGAAAACACAGCCTCAGTATAAAAAGAGATAGCAGAATGCTATAAACACCCCTGTAAATTCTGTTTTTTCAAGACTGCTGACATGGTAAATCAGTGTCTATTTTTAAGCATATTTCATCCAAAATTATAATCATATGCATCTGGATTTTTCCAGAATGTGAAAATGCAGTCTGGCAGAGAGAGTTTGATTTTCAGTTGTGATTTTGAGGGTTTTATTTTCTTTCTACTACTTACGCTATTCCCAGCATACTCAAATATTATTCCCATAAAAGATTCCAGTCAGACAATTTTCTTTTGTGGATTCTTCTTCTTAAGAATCTTGCTTTCCAGCATTAGGCTAATATGGTTGAACCTTTTTCAAATGTGGTTTAGACTGGCTGAACTAATCGTTTGATTTGTCTCTTTTAGCTATGTTATTTCCTATTGCATGAAACAAATATAGTTGCTTCTTTGCACACAACTGTTTTATGGAACAGTCTGTTACAGAGCTATCATCTCTGAATTGTAGAGCAAAAGAAAAAATGATCAAGTATATGTCTTTTGATCATGACAAAAACAACTTGGAGGAGAGTGTAAGCATTTTTTTCCATTTTCACCAAGCAATAATTTAAAAGAAATCTAAAATGTTAAAATATTTTAGCAGGATAAAAAAAAAAAACAGACTGAACACTTCCTATATTTGTGAATTCTTTCTTTCAATTGCAAGCTCATGCCATTTCTCTGAAGACAGGAAGGGCCAACAATTACCACAAAGGCAGTCCTTCCAGGAAAGAGTGGCCTGGTGTGAAACTTTGCTGTTGTCATCTGCTGCATGTAACTGGATCTGGGTCGCAGTTTGTGACTACTTTTCATTTTTCTAGCCATGTTTTAAGAACAGATATCAGTCTTAGTAGTGCTTATGGCTGTGGAGAAATCTTAAGTTCCGAAGTCAAAATAATGAGTTCTCTTTTCTGTGAAAGATTGAATTCTGTATGGTTTCTGCTTATTCTTCCAAGAGTTGGTCTGAATGACTTGAAATGTATATGTATCTCTCAGTAGTTTCCCTAAGGGTTTCATGGTACTTTCAAAGGTGAAGGTTCAGTGGGAAACTCTCAGTGATTCATACACCCATTCCCTCGCTTCTAGTTTCACTAGTTTATCTGATTGTAGCATGCAGATTTCCCACATACCTGCACTTTGCCAAAATACAAAAAGAACTGTAGTTTGGATAACACGTTCTTAGTGTTTATTAGTGCATATGGACATTAATGGTGGCAATTTGTAGAAAATGCTAGATCTCTAGAGACACTCTCTTTCGCTTACCAGGACATCAGGTATTTTTTTTCCTTAGCTTTTCATATCCTGTTGTCACTGGCAGTGGTTATGTCCAGACAAGATAGATTTATAACAGACACATGCAAACACAGTGGAGAAGGGCAATAGCAAGCAAAAAGGCTGCTTACAGATATTGAAGAAGTATTATAAAATTATGATGAGAAAAGCCCAGTCAAATCTATTAGATGCAGGAGTTTGCATGGCAATTCAGCTCCCATCACTCAGCAAAATTATTAGATATGTCAGTCTCAATTCAGATTAGAAGCACTGGAGTACAAGAGCCTGCCAAGCCACTGACTTCACAGAGAAACTTATATGCACCTTTTTGTTAACCGATTAGGCTGCATCTGGAGTTTGTAGTCCCCCTTCTGTCATTACCTGCTTTTGGAAGTGTACTGTAGTAACTCACTCCCATGCTGGTTAGATACTTACTAATATCCAGCACAGGGGCACTCAGGGCTAGTTTATACTCACTTGTTAATGTCCAGTGTCTGCTCCAGTTTACATCAGTCTAAATAGTTCTCATTGCATGATGGCCAGATTACTATCTAGCGAAACAAACTCATGTTTTGCTTACTGTTTTTTGTGCCTTTTGTTTCATTTGGTTTTGATTTTTTTTATTTTTATTTTTTTGTCATAAGATAAGCTCTTCCTTCTTGTAATCTTCCTCATAACCTTTCTGTGTATTTTCCTCTTTGAACGCAGGTTTCATAAACACACTTGACCAGAATTGTCACTAATGGTGTTTCAACAGGTCCCTAGACAGTGGCATTAGTATTTCACTTTGTCTCTTGGCCTGGTGCAACTGCTCTGGCAAATGAGAAGTTGCAGTCTTTCCTAGTCTCATGCCCCTGAGTGCTGTACTAACCAGAACAAATAGCAGAAACCTTTAGCTGTCTCATCTTCATTCTCTTTCATACCCCCTGGTAAATCCAAATTCATTTTTCCTGGAGTGCCTGGGCTGACACAGCTTTTACTTTTTCTTGTCAGAGCTGCACTATTTTGGTGGCCTCTTAACAGCCTGTGTTAGATCAACCTCTATAGGACTGTATCTCTGATTTTGCCACTATTTGGAGAAAGAGATTTTAATGTACTATCTAGACTGGTAACTAGAAATATGTTTCTTAAGCTACCCTTTTCATGGAGAAAGTAAATTTCCAGAACTGTTTTTTACTTACCCTAAATTCTTCTGTCCTGGGCAGCTGCTACCAGTGTGGCCACAGTCATGGTAGTTCTGTTGATATGAAGCAAACAGAGCTTCTTTGAAGTGTTTTAGACCTCATCTTTCAGTATCTTTTTGATATTTCCCAACTTGGCATTTCAGTGTGCTGCTTAAAAAAACTTTGCATTTCTAGCTACATGTTTCAGACTGTAGTTAGGTCGTGATATATTTACAGATATACATGACTCTAACCTCATAATACCTTGAAGCAGATAAGCTTCTCCTGATGCTGCCAAGTACATTAGTTTACAAGCTGTGCTCTGCAGATGGCTGGCAATCAGTAAATTCCAAATAAGTGGCCGGTGCATTGTCTACTGAACTCGGTTAAGCCTTATTAATTGGTCAGTTAAAAAATAGATAAGGATTTGTGAGAATTAGCTGTGGTCTGCATCTGTGGATACTGATGTATTCGTTGAGATCCCACCAAAAGCACAGGAGGTTAAGCAACTTGCCCAAGATGTAGGAAAGAAGAAAACAAAAGTCATAGGATGCCTCTGAAAGAGTTAAAAATAAAATCCTGTATCTAGATTATTAGTCTGATATTTTACCTAGAAAATAATTAATTTCTTCATGACTGGGTTATATTGCCACAATGTACATATATATATATATATATATATAAAAGTACGTTGTGGTAACATTTTAACTACTTTAATGATGTAATGTGATCTACACATGAAAGACAACTAATGTGCAGTGTCACTCACTTGCACATCCTGTGTACAGTTTGGTACAGTCATTGCATTTTTCCATCGTATTCCATTGTTTCAATATCCATTTGTTATGTTTGACTAATCATATTTTACAAAGGCAGAAAGATCACCTTGCAAAAGGCTACATGTACAGGGAACTCTGTTTTTATTAAAATATCAACTGAAGTTAGTTTCTTTTTAGAAAGCAATAGAAATGTATATATTTCTACCCTGTATCTAGAAAAGGACTGTTGCTCTTTCCATTGAGACCAAATTGTTCTAAAATAAACCTGCCCTTTGTGTCTGGTCAGTGTCATTTCACTTTAATCCGATTCAAAGGATCTGTTAAAAAGAACCTCAGTTACCCCTCCTTCAGGGGTGGGTTGTAACTGCTTATAGAAAAGTGGTCTTGCTCTTTGAAACAACTGTAAATTAGCTAGTCAGTGTCTGTCTATCCTTATTGTAGATAGAAACAAGGCATTTTCCCTGGGCTTAATATTGATCTTTAAGGCAAGCCTGTTATTAGAGTTGTTAAAAGATAACAGTATATTTGTGAAAGGCATATAGGAATGAATTTCAGTATTTTCAGTCTCAGGTTTTCTTGCCTTTTGCATCATATTTTCCATGGGCAATTCATCCTGTGTTAAGCATCCAGAGTGGGGTGCACATAAAAGTGCAAACCGAAGTCATGTGCAGGCCAAGGAGGTCACAGCATGCTGCTCTGCTGAAAAGCTGTTCAAATTTTATCAAAGAATGAGGTCCTCGAAGGCATAAAGAATAATAGAGCCAAATGATTTGTCATTATCATGAAGGTGGCAGGTAAACACACAGTTTTTCAGACACTTTTTCTCAACCCTGCTGTGTTTTCACCTGTTCTTTTGGGATCAAGGAAACAGCTGAACATGAGACTTGAAAAGTATCTGGATCTGATATAGAAAACTCTGGTTAATGATTAAACTTGCCTAGGCCCATAAATAATACTCGTTTAAGGAATTTAGAGATGTGCTGTAAGCAGGGAAGTTTTTGAAGTTTTGAAGTTTTGAAACAACAACGCCATCCTTTTTTGTCCTTGCCCCGTATTCAAGCTGGCAACGTAGCTCCTTCCAGCTTCGGTAAGGAACAGTCATGTGAGACCTCTTGACTATAGGTTTTCTGTTCGTTGTCTTGAGATTAGATTTCCCCGTGGGCTTTCAAGTCCGTCCTAAGTCCTCTAGGAGGTGGCTTGAGACTGCCTTTGGTGCTAACACCCTGATGCATGTAGGGATACTCATAGGGACTCATTCTACAAAAAAACCCCAAACAAACCAAACAACCAAGTTTGCAATTTGCTAATGAAAATAACCTTATGAATTTTCTCTTCGATTTTACTAATAAGGGCCAAACTGTACTGAAGAGAGAACTCAATGTGTTTCGTTGGAAGTGATACTTGTTTAATATATCCATTTAATACTTGAGAAAAGAACTTTGTCAAAATAAAGGTAAGAGTTTTGCTTTATGGAAACAGAATATCATAACATTAGAGAGGTTTATTTGGTTCTCATGTGTGTGCGTAATGTTTAATTAGAGGTCGGAACAGGGCTTTCCTAGTGATTGTTTCCAGCATTGTTTCCAAAGGAAACATTTCTTTTACAGATGCCTCCAGTAGTAGGGACAAGTACTGTTAGGAGTGAACTGACATATTAATACATCAGGAAGTGGACTACAGTGCATTCCATATTTACTTTAAGTCAGCAACTTGCATTTAAGAAGGAGAAGCACTTCAGGCTTATTCACAAGGCGGCAGAGGACCAAGCATGTAGATTTCCCTTTCAGCAGAAAAACAGAGATTCCTCTAGAGTATCATTTAGAACAGGAGCCTAATGTAAATTGTGCTTGGAAGAATCTGTCTCTTTGTTTACTACAAAATGAGTGAGTTTTGGAAGTAATGGCAAAGCCTTAGCACCTATGCTGATTTTAATGTGTCTTCACACTAGTGTGGGCACTAGTACTTTTCTAAAACCCATTTGGGTTTTGGACACAAGAAAGGATCATTATCAACAGTCTGGGGAGACTGGCTCTCTAGGCTAATGTTGGTCTCTCCAAACAGTTTGAATTGCTAACAATACCTCACTTATCCTATTGGAAAAATTAGTCCTTTCCTATGCCTTTTTTTAAAGAAATTTTAATCAAACTATTGCATGGATAGTGCACATAACCACGTTAATTTAGAGGAGCACTGAAATTTCTCTGTGGGTGGAGTCTATGTTTAAAACTACCCATGGGAAACACATGCAGGAAGGCTACACAATGTACGAGGTTTAGGAGGACTATTATTAGATTCCAGGTCTCCTGATTTCTCTGCTCACTGAATCATACTGTTAATCAAGTGTTAGGCATTAAAGTAAGTGTGGATGAATTGTAAACCACATAGGTCTGAGGGCAGCAAATGGAATGAACGATAAGACCTCTTTTTGTAAATCTTAAGCAAATTGAAGAAGTTACATGGAAGTCTTCTTAGGAGATAAAATCAAGAAAGAATATGATGCTCCTTCTTGCAACAAGTGGTGACTACGGGCTTCAGCTGCTGCATAGCAGAGAGAAGCCAGAACGGTGATGAAACAGGGTGCTGGGGCAAAGGCACAGGTTACACACTGGCATCTGCAGCCACTGCAGTCTTTTGCTGTCTGATGGACTTCATTGCAAATTGTACACAACATTAGCATGGCCTTTACTGCTTTATAGCCAGTTGTGATTAGACTGGTATAGACAGCATTTGATTTTCTTTTTCTCACGTTCTAAGCAAAATATCTCCAAATAGTTATACAATAAGGGAGAGTAGGGAAGGTTTTTGTCTTTCCTATAGAAATCAGAAATCTGAAAGATTAGTAATGTGTATATTTAGTAATATTTAGGGTTTTGAACTAAAGCTTCTTTGTTGCATGCCTGTGGAAGAAGTGATTAAATTTCAAGGCCAATGCAAATACTTAGGTTGCAGGCATGTAGGTACCCAAGGCTACATTTAGTGAAGAAGGTAATTCTGAAATCAAATTTTGAAATCAAATGGTCACTACTGTATTATATATATATCTTACACTGAATTTTCTTTTAAAAGCTTTCTACTTCCATTGTCTTCTTTGGGACTTTTTGTCCCCACTCCTATAAGCCTCTTCAGTAGCCCAAAGAAGCTGGCATACTGTTATTTGTGCTATGAAACAGCAGAATTAGCTCAGAAAATTTATGCACTAATTAAAATTCTGCTGAGAAGGTGGGTCAGTGTACAGCCCTCACCCTGGTTCCAGCTGTCCTTTCTGATTGCCCAAATGCACTCTCAGATGCCTGACTTAGAAAGCTTTTACATGACCTGCTTTTCTGTAAACCTTTTGTTTGGATATGGTGTCTGTCCTTCTGTCTCAAATAAGTATGCAAAAGTGTTGCCCTGAGAATAATCACATTCAAAAAACTTAAGGTCTGCCACGGGCTCTCAAAATACTTGAGATTTTTTTTTTTAGAAACCATGTGAGGTGTCCCTGCACATAGCTGCCACTTATGAAAATGTTGCATTAACACTGGAAATTCAAAAAACTGTAGAATATACTAGTACTAGAAAAAAATCAAGACCTTATTTTAGAGTATATACCCAACTCACTGTTTAATCGTATAATAATTAAAATCTGGTAAAGGCAAAATGCTTTGAGTGAGTTTATAGCCATGGCAAAAGACAAAAACATATTTACAGTAAAATAAATGGTTCAAGAATTTTATTAGGTGTAAAACTTACTCAGCTTTTGCTTGGAAATATACCTACTATATCATAAAGCAGCACTGATGTCTTATATCCTTCTTGTACAAGTGAAGTATCTTCATCTATATTCTGACCGTCAGTTTCATTCATCACATTTTCTGAAGTCAGATCTTTTTAGTTGTGTACTCAGAAACTGCCCTGGATTTTTAGTATTATTGCTTTTTGTTTCTGTACTAGTCACCAGTGATGCTTACATCCTCTTTTGCTACCAGAACTATTACTAGATAAATGAATCATAAAAAAAGAGTTAGGTCTCTGTGAACTTCTTCTCGAAGTTCACACTGAAGCATACACATTAGTTATATTTCAAGTAGGTGTTCTTCTTGAACTTCATTGATACATGGCATGAAAAACTCCAATAAAATCTAAATGTTTCAAGTTTTGTATGATACAAGAAACCATAAACTATTTCTTTTTATTTTGAATTACAGATGTCATCCGTTCAAGATTCCAAATATGGCCAGAAAGATACATCTGACCAGAACTTTGATTACATGTTCAAACTGCTTATTATCGGCAACAGCAGTGTTGGGAAAACCTCATTTTTGTTTCGATATGCTGATGATTCCTTTACGTCTGCATTTGTAAGCACGGTTGGGATCGATTTCAAAGTAAAAACAGTTTTCAAAAATGAAAAAAGAATTAAGCTACAGATTTGGGTAAGCTAAAAATAATAATTCTGTGAATTAAGCAAGCTGTAGCAGTTTGTTAGCATTTGCAGCACTGCAGGTTTACATTGAATGTCATAACCCTGAGAGAGAGAGAGAGAGAGAGAGAGAGAGAGAGAGAGAGAAAACGCACAGTAATGAAAAAGCATTTAATTATTTCCTGTGTAATTTTTCTGTCTTGAATAATAGAATGCAGACAGTATTTTTAAGGTATTGAAGTACAGTGATTATATATTCTGAATTGAATTCCTTTGGGAAATAATACAGGTTAACACATATTGATATCTGTGCAGTGAGATATAAACAGCTTTGCAATATATAGGCTATTGAAAGTGATAAACGTTATATCAAAGTACCTTGAAATATCAGTTTTAGGGTCTGGTGTGTTCCCATAACAAATTATGAATTCATGTAGAAGCTATGATAGTGAATGCATGACAGAAGGTATAACTTTTTGCTCTGTTAGTTATGTTTGTCATCCTGATCACCTGAAACATCTTCCTTCTTCTGCTGAGGAATACTGCAAAGGTATAGTGTTGCTAAGGCATTCCTTGCCTACACCGTAGAGATGATAGAACAATGCCTAATGTAGAAAAGTGTGATGCCAGGGAATAGATGAAACAAAATGATATCCAAAACTTATTTCATAAAATCATAGAATATTCTGAGTTGGATAGGACCCACAAGGATCATTGAACGCCTCACCTGGCCCTGCACAGGACAGCCCCAAGAATCACACTATCTAAACACTTCTTGCACTCAGACGGGCTTGGTGTTGTGACCACTCCCCTGCGGAGCCTGTTCCAATGCTCAACCACCCTCAGGGTGAAGAACCGTTTCCTAATATCCAACCTAACCCAACCGACTCAGCTTCAGGCCATTCCCTCAAGTCCTGTCACTGGTCACCACAGAGGAGAGATCAGTGTCTGCCCCTCCACTTCCCTTCATGAGGAAGTTGTACACTGCAATGAGGTTTCCCCTCAGTCTCCTCTTCTCCAGGCTGAACGCACCAAGTGCCCTCAACCACTCCTCATATGTCTTCTCCTCAAAGCCCTTCAACATATCCATGGCCCTCCTTTGGAAGCTCTCTAATAGCTTGATGACCTTCTTATATGGAGGCATCCAAAACTACACACAAAACTACACCAGTGCACAGCAGAGCAGGACAATCCCCTCGTCTTGCCAGTGATGCTGCGCCTGATGCACCCTGGATTTGGCTCGATTTATGGCAGATTTGTTGATGCTTACATCTGCTAGTTCTTGAGTGTAACACACTAAAAGGATGGGGAGGAATAGCAGGACATTTAATAATGTGAGACCTGGAGTTAACACTTCAGGTCTTTGCTATCTTCCTGGGGTGCTTGAAGATTTTGAGCAGTGTTTCCTTGGTGAGACATTCGTAACAGCTGAGGTTTTTTTGGTTCATGAATACAAGTAATTTAAAATTCATTTAATGATGAGCAGTCATTAAATCTCAGAAAACCTTAGATCAAATCTGAGCAGTTATTTGAACATTATTTGAACAGCAGATAAATTGAGCATCTTTTTAATATGGCACAAAGGAGAATTTTCCAGAGCTTCCTAGGGCCTATCTCATTCAGGTTTTTTTAGATAGGCTTCAGCCCTTGATATATCAATTTGTGCCCTCTAGGAACATACATGTTTTGCTTCTCAATTTTTTTAAGCTTAGGTTATTGCTATTATCATTAGTGAAATAGCACTACATACTAGGTAACTGTATATTATATGCATGCTTTCACTTAGTAACATGCTGGTTTCATTGTAGTAATGTTGGAGATCACATCAACATTGCCTTTCTTTTTAATAATGGAGAAATTAAATTGTGTTCATATTATAGTCTTTACACAGTTCTGATTTTAATCACCAAGTATCCACTACAACAGATTTTATTGTTCATGTCTCTCCTAGCAAAAGCAGCAATGCTAGTTTATGATGTTGTAGTAATGTGATTAGCATATTTTTTGTCTCTTCACGTCAGACTACAAATATGTGCTTGGCTCAAAGTTGTCCCGTGATCTAGATGTGTTGAGGTCTATCCACAGCATAGAGGGGATGTAGCAGTAGAAATCTTTCCAGCTGGAATGAACTTCCAGTTCTAGCAAAATCTGCATTTTGTTGTTCTTTGCATGACATTAACATTCAGAGTCCAAACATGCTCTGACACTCCTTACCTGAAAAAACCTGCAACCAAAATGAGTGAAACAAACCCAAGAGCTCCATGTGCCTTACAGAAGAGGAAAGAGAGGCACAGAGCATAGAAGCAACCTTCCTGCTTCAACTTTAGGTGAAGAGTCACATGTAGGCACATGATTAGGATTTGAGAGAAGACTTCAGATTCATGCTAAAGGTTTTTGTCCTAGCCAGCCTTGCATCTTTGTTTGTGGTAGTGTGTTTTTTTTCCCCACTGATTTTTTAATGCCAGTTCTTAAAAGGTCTTGTCATTGCCAAATCAACTCAAATTGCACAACTCAGTACAGCTGTTTAGCTGGAGTATTTTGCATTGAAGCATTGCTTTGCAGTTAACCTTGCTAGTAAATTGGTTGACTGTTGCATTTCTGGGACCTTCAATAAAGTCAGTAAACAAGTAAAGACTCTCAGAAAGCTATTCTAGTGCACAAAATCTGAAGTAGAGCACTGTTACTCCCTCTCATAAGCTATATCAACAGCAGTATTGTTCTTAACATGTAGTATCTATATATGTAACTTGTGTCTATATTATGTTATATTATTTTTCTTGTGTTATGCAGATATCTTTCTAAAATGAAGAGTACTCCTGTGATATCCATTTGAATTTCAAACTGCACATGTGAAAGACTATTTGAGCGAGTCATACCGAGTGTGATTTGATGTTAATACTGAGTAGAACGTGCATGAGGTTATAACACTTCCTTCAAAATCAGTGGCAAGAATTTGATGACATCATGTGATAACATATTCAGCATAAATGAAATAAAGTATTATCAAAAATCTCACAGTTTTGTATAGTCAGAAGAAGCCGGAAGTGCGACTTTAAAATGTGTTCTGAATGACAAGATCAGAACTGAATTACTTTGCCACGCACTTAACTGAAGGAACACCTGGAATGATGCTGCTCTGATGTCCTTGCCTGGCAGTAAAGTGCAGAAAGTGTAAATAGTAATGCTGTTAAGCCACTAAAATTCCCTAGCTAGAGCACAGTTAATCCGACATTTGTCCTGTTACAATTTTGTACACGTTCCTCTGGGGTAGACATTTAGACTTCCTGTTTAATAGTGCTTTCAGCATGATACTTTGTGTTCAACTTGGAGTATGTTGGAGCTTGCTGATTTCCAGAGAATAAGATTTTCGTATGCTTAGCAGGGAAGGATGCAAGTTTGTTGAAAAGTCAATATGGGCATTGAAGGAAGCAGAGTCATTACTTATTAATAAAATTCACAGTGTGATTATCACAGTTGAACTAGGAAGGGTTAACAGGTTGAAGGCAGTGCTGTCTTCCATATTCAGATGCCCTGCAGGTCTTTAGTTTGTTTGAGGTTTTTCTTGCTTGGAGGGAATGGTGTCTTATTCTTGAATAAGATTTGAAAGAAGAATTGTCTTCTGTCATTGTTCAAGTCAGAGAGGATGGGGCTCAGTCTAGTCCTTGTTGTTACATCTATTTCATGTGGTAAGAAAGAGCCTGCTGGAAGCACTGTAACATTTACTTGTTTTCCTCCTGAGCCAAACACCTTCTTTCAAGCAATATTTATTACTGGGTTTGAGAGAGGTTCAGAGTTCAAGTGCTATGTTCATTAATGATAGCACATTACCATGTCATAGGACCATGAGCAGGCTCTGAAATTTTGATTCATTGCATATTATAAATATGACAACGTGGTATGGATGTTAGGAAGACATAATATTAACATGTTTCTTACCTTTTGGAGGAGAGCAATCCATAAAAATTGTGGTTTTACTTCAAAAGGTGTTGATTTCTCAACTGAAACAAAAAAAAAATAAAAAATTAAAGAAAGTGTGTCTGTATGCAGCACATACATGCATAAAAGGATAAAAATCCATTAAAGGGCTTACAGTGTCAAATAATAAAAAGCAATATATTTTCCCTCCATTTGGTTTGACGTAGTAATATTAAAGGAAAGGGATGGAACTAGAAGGCTGTAAGATTCTCTCACTTTAAAAATGTTAGATTTCACATTATGTTGAATTTTTAAAAAAATATCAGTACTAATTCAGACAAAAATACACACTAAATAAAATTAATAAAAGCTTGAAGAGGTGCAAATGAGAAAATAAAAACAAACTTAACCTTATAAATCTATCACTGTATTAACTGTATAAATCCCTATGCTCAGTATATCCTGTAGCTGTGATTCTAGAAAGGTGTACATTACCTTTGTGAGCTCTGTCAGTGGTATAATAGAAATAACAGCCTGCAACACCTTATGGAGAAAATGTAGACTTATTTGAAGAGTAGAATTTGTTAGCTACCATGTCAAAATAAGCCACAGAATAGGGAGGAAAAAAAAGGAAAAAAAGTCCAGATAGTGGTTCCTAGAGAAAAGAATAATATTTACAAATACAGGTCAACATATTTAACTGGCAGTGTATCCATAGTGTATCTTTAGCTCATGTTTAAAATATACTTGATCAGAACTCTCAGTGATTTTTAACTGACTTCAGTACAAATTTTGTTTGAGGAATAAAGCATCAAATTTTCCCTGTGTGATCTATTTATTATGTAAAAATGCTCTAACTGTATTTGCTCAGCGATATCTGATTATAGCACTTTGGTGCAAATATCAAATAAGACACTGCACTGCTTTTGCTGCTTAGATGGCTTTTCCCTGGGACTAGCTTTAGACTTCAAGGACTAGGTGCAATGATCACACATATATCCTTCTAGAGAAGGCAGAGAAAGACCTGCTTGTGTCAGCATATCCTTCTTAGAAGTGTGTGTGATAGTTTCATTTGATACCCAAAATGTTGCTGCCTTC